CTGCCCCATGGTCAGACCACAGAGGTCACCAAGGGTCAGTCTTTTTACTTGCCTCTAATCTCAACATTCAAATTTGTAATACCAGATTCCAGGCTTGTCAACTGAATAAGCAGTGCCAGCTTGAGAGCTGATGGTATAGCTGATGGAAGAGAAACTTCACAAATCCTCAGATACTATCCCTGCCATGGTTATTTTTCTAACCCCACATGTAAACTGAGGAGCTGGTGAAATCAGAAGGAATGCAAAGCAAGATAATCAGGAACCAAAAAGGGCACCCAATCCAATACCACCTCTCAAAGTCTCCCTCTAAAAGTGCTAAAGCCCCAAATTTCTGGTCCCAGATTGTTAACTTATTTTGGTATGAGACTGCCTTGACCCACATGAGTTTCTGCTGCCCATCACTTCCTAGACAAGCAATGCTGGCTCCAAAAATGAATTCTGATCTCTCAAAACAACGGTTTGAACTCTAGAGATCTTGTCCCATGAGCGAATCATACTCTCTCCACAATTTTTTTTTCCATAAATATTAGTGTCCCCAAAATATGGCCTACCCAGATTAGGCCAAATTTCAGAATGAAACTGAAATGGTATTTGGATCAGAGATACAAGAACATCCAATTCTCTTTCAACCAACCACTGTTCACAAGGTTCAAGAGGGAAATAATTGCACAGAGGACAATGCCTAGCAACTTAAAAGTCTCTCATTTTGTGATAGGATCCTTGTCCTGAAGTGGGCTGTATTGCAAGGAGAATTCCTGTATATCATACAGGTTACATCATTATTTATCACAGTTCACAAATGACCCCACAATTTGGCAGCTTAAACATCACACATTTATTGTTAACATTTATAATCTCACAGTGTCTGTGGGTCAGGAGTACAGGCACAGTTTAGCTAGGGCTTCTGCCTCAGAGTCTCTCAGAGGCTGAAATAGCAATGTTGCTTGTGGCTGTGGTCTCTGAAGGTTCAAGTAGAGAAACATCCACTTTTAAGCTCACTCATAGGTTTCTAGCAGGATTCAGTTCCTTGCAAAATAAGAGTTCAAAGACCTCAGTTCCTCACTGGCTGTTGGCTGGAGGTTGCCCTTAGTTCCTGCTATGGCATCTTGTTTCATCAAAGTGTGCAAGCTAAGATGGAGCTATAAAGAGAAAACCAGCAAGGTGAAAGTTCTAATCCCTTGTACCTAATTATAGAAGTGACATCCCATCATTTTTGGTTTATTATTTTCATTACAAGCAAGTCACTAGGTCAGCCCACACTCAGGGGGAAGGCATTTTACACAAGGGCAGTGTGGTAGTTATGTTTGTGTGTCAGCTTGGCTGGGCCTGGTTGAGTGGCTGGGCAGCTGGTAGTAGTTATTCCCCATGATGAGACTGGCAATCAACTCCATGGTGGGACCTACCACAAGCAGCTGAGTAGTTGCCTTTGGAATGTGGTCTGCTTCCTGTATATAAGGAGAAGCCTTGGGAATGGCCTCTAGCCTTTGGCACACTTAGACCCTG